TTTTACTAAATAATTATCTCAATTTCTTATGGCTCTGGAGAAGAACTACACTATACCCTATCTCTCTAATTCAGGAATCTCTACGACGACCACCTTCACTAACGTCACACAATTCTCCGTTATGAGTTGCGACTGACATGAATTATGCAGGACCTGATGGATTCAGAGGTAAAGGTACTTGTTTCCAGTACCCCAAACAGAATAAATAAAATCTCATTGAGGTAAAATAAAAATGCACAAAACGACACTTTTCAACGGGTTGTGGTTAATGAGAGTTCTAGTGGTGACTTATCATAGACTACTTTGTATTGTATGCAAAAGGTTATAAATGAAAATGTGAAAAAAAAAACTCTAAATTAACAAATGAATATTTAAAAAGCAATGTGAACCCAACAAACAATGGGATCTTCTTCTATTTACTCATTTGGAGTAAGAATGGATATACTCTACAGTCAACGGATGACAATCACACTATTGAGGTAAAATACAATGAGAAAAGAGAAGATTAAAAAATATGATGTTTCTCAGTGTACTATCACCATCATCACTTTGTGAACCACACGCACCTATCTTTACTGTCTAAATGGATAGGAGAAAACTGCTACATAGTTTACATCTCAATTACCATCACAATCATATTATACAGCCTTGGAGGTACCGATAGTGCACCCAGAAGTTTCTACATGTGCCAGAGCTCTATTACAGTAACGGCAACAATAATAACAACACTAGCTTCATGTGGTATTCTATTACTACTGCTCGCTTTTACTTCATCTTGTTGTTGATGTAACATATAATCGAGTAAAACGAGTATTATTTTGTGTATACAAATTTCATAAAAAGGAGAACACAAAAAAAAAAAACTCTAATGTGGTAGAGAATTTGTACTTCGGAATATTATTAATGATGGTTATCACCCAGACCACGATAGAAACTTTTATTCTTTTCTGCACATCAAATATCTCTAGTACACGAATAGATTCATGTAAAAACCATCACTTTAATGATTAAGTTTATGTTTCTTTTCTCCTTATGTTACATGTCATTTAAGAGAGCTCACACAAACAGCACAGTCAAAGAATCACCATGCGCACAACTCTACTATTAACCTTGCTACTGATACTCTCCTGCATCTGTACATGTGCAGCAGCAGAGAGGATGCCACTGCCGGTGCCACGTGTGGGTGGATACGCTACAGAGGCGAGGGGAACGGGACCACGAGGTGAAGGCAAAGCACCATACATCAAAGAAGCTTTTAAGCCTGCTACACATCCACACTTTTTGGGTAAAGGTGAGTTCACTACTACCACACCATCCCTCAGTATGAGTGAGTCCATGAGTGCCTCTGCCACTCTTCCTCTCACTGACACCACTACTGTTGCCCCAACACCAGATCAACAACAGGAAGCAGCAACAGGAGAGGGACAGGCCGCCCCTACTGGGGAGTCGAGT